AAAAAAAAAAAAAAAAAAAAAAAAAAACTAAATACCACTTCAAAGCACTATTTTTCATTAAATTTACTTTAAAACGAATGATTTAACACATGACATATACGTGACATACAATCCAATCGAAGTCTTCCTTGATTTTATAAATTACGAACAATTATGTGCACCCAATTGTGCAATTGTATTATAGATTATTGATACGATCTCAAATTTTGCTCTATTCGTTTTAATTTAAAACTAAAGAAATTTCATTAACAAATTGTTTCATTTAAAATAGAATTATCGCGTAAAAAAGATTATTGTCGCGTTGTCATGATCTTGAATCAGTATTCTCGTGTATTTTAATTATTTCACGTTAATCGTTAAAAAATGAATTAGAAAACAGTGTCCATAAAAATGTGATCTTGATATAATCAGTATGTAAGTTACAAAAATAATTTGACGCGAACGCAATTACGATGATCACGACTCTTTTTTTATTGTTCAATTAATAAGATAATAAAAATATCTATATATCATCGCGCCGGGACGAGTAATAAACGTGTCGTTACTTTCAATTTAAAATATGTTTAACAATAAGAAAAAAAAGACTATATTAAAACGTTACATAGCCGTGATTAAAAGAACAGTAATAAAAAAGTCAACTGTTTAATAATCCGAAATTGTAAAATTGTAAACATTCGTGAAAATTCTGTAAAATAAAATAATACTCTTTAACTTGAGAAAACCGTGGAACAACTTTCCTCGGCTGTAAATATCTTATAGATAATAGGGAAAAAAAAAGAAAAAACAAACAGGAAAAATATTGTAGCTGTAATTTTTAAGCGATTGGGCTTAAAATCGAAGAAAAAATAAAAAAAGGAACAAAAAAAGAAACAGAATTGCTATGACTCACTACGAGCATTATTGTTAAGACCACTTAAGTACACCTCTAAAATAAAATGTCTCTAATATGCTGTCATTTATAATAAATACATATGTATATATATATGTATGCAGTTATTAATCAAATGTTTTCCATATTTGTATTTGAGTTGCACTCCCATGAAAAATTTGATGGTAACTTACTTTAAGATTTACCATAAGAACTTATTGACCATTAGAGATCTGATGGTAACTTACCTTAAGACTTACCATAAGAATTTGCTGACAATTAGGTATCCGATGATCGGTAAGTACTTATGGTAACTTACCCCATTAGATCATGAATTATTTTACCGACAATCTTTACTTATTTTCTGTACTTTGATTGGATATTACTTGCGTAATTTTCAACCAATGAACGCTCTAGGTAGTGACTACACGCCCTTTTTTTCGTGCTACCTCCTTTATAACCATGCATTCCGCTTATATTTCTTTAATTTTTGCGTCACGAGAAAACTTAAGATCGTAACTATAAGAAAATCTGGAATTCTATTGGAAATTGAAAAAAACGTACGAACCTTCGAATCGAGGATGGTGTTTAAATATCTTTCACATAGTATATATTAATATAGTAAATGTATATTGATAGGTACATTTATTAATATTAGATATTTTTGATTAACACTTTGATTGTCTTTTATTATTCTTAAAAGTTGGTTCTCTGAACATATATTTTAAATTATTTAAATAATTATTATAATTGTTATTAGTGTAAATAAATTATATTGTTTACTCATATATATAATATTCCTGCAGACTCGGTCACTAAAACATTAAAAAAAATTTATTTTATTATATTATATTAATATAAAAAAGAAACATAATACTGTGTATGCTTAATCGTGGATTATTTATTTCTTTTTTTATTAATGAATTAGATATCAGTTATCAAAGAAATTTAAGAAAAACAGAATATAAGCGTTGAACATTTGAATTTTTGTAAATATCATTGGCTGAAAAATACAGATGGCATGCATTCGTTTCCTTGGATACGATAAAGAACCACAACAAGTATCGCATAGTTCAGACATAATAGAGTGGCATAGTACGAGCATAGTAAGCTATCCTAATATAACAATTTTGTTCCAGTATCAGTGATCGCGCTTTTAAACAAAATGGTAACAACAAAGAAACTGTTATAAATTTAAACAAATGCACAATATTATGCACCCGATTCCTGCACAACATATACATGTATAATATTTACACAAAGTAAAACACATCGTGTCACTTTTTTTTAACCTCTGTGCTGGAAAGCGAGGATAACAATTTCATGTAGAAAAATATACGATATTAAAGAATATTGAAATAATATACATATATTTATGAGAGGAGTTATTTATAATTTATAACATATAATAATTAACAAAATTTATGTTATACAAATTTGTAGTATTTTTTGGAGATTCAACGATATTCGATAAGCATGAGTTTGAGATACAAAATTGGATTTATATATATATATATTTAAAATTTTCATTTAAAAAATACGTGTGTTAAATAAATTAATTAGTTATTTTATATATACTCTTGAAATCGTAACGATTAAATATACTTTGGGTAGTAGTATCTTTTCGTTGTTGGTGGTGAAAGTGTCTATCGATCGTCCGAATAATTCAATTGCAATCTCATCTCTCTCTCTCTCTCCTTCTCTGATATGTAGGTTGCATCATTTATTTTGATTAATTAGATGTTTATCTTTACTTCCAGGGTCTTTTATCTATTTTGCGAAAATTACGTTCTAATCCGGAAAAAGAATTACGCCTTTTACTTTTAGGCTTGGATAATGCTGGAAAAACAACGATTTTAAAATCATTGGCTAACGAGGATATTACACAGGTGAATTTTTATAAGACGAATTCTTATTAATTATATAATTAATATTATAATAATATTAATTCTTACGGCAAGGATAATAATAATTATTATGATTTGAAATTTATAAGGTAACACCCACGCAAGGCTTCAATATAAAAAGCGTACAAAGCGAAGGATTTAAATTAAATGTTTGGGATATAGGTGGTGCAAGAAAGATTCGGCCCTATTGGCGAAATTATTTCGAAAATACCGACGTTCTCGTAAGTAAATGAAATATTTTCAAAATAGTATTACGAAAAAAAAAAAAACAAGAAAAAGGATTAAAATAATAGAAAAAATATTATCTTTTGCGTCATCACACTCGTCCACGGATGTGCATCATTTATTATACATTGCTTTTTTTGTTAAATTAATATTTCACCCGGGTATGGAAGTAATTTTATTGATTTCAAAAATTGCATTAGTCTGAAGCAACACAATAAACACAGGAACTTTTGATTAACCTTAATAGGAAAAGGAACGTTAATAAAATATTCACGTTCGTATTTTTATTGATTTCCTTTTCTTGTCAGATTTATGTAGTAGACAGTGCCGATATCACAAGATTAGAAGAAACAGGTCAGGAACTTTCAGAGCTATTATTGGAGGAGAAACTCAGTGGTGTTCCATTGCTGGTATACGCGAATAAACAGGATTTAAGTCATTCAGTGACAGCAGCGGAAATAGCCGAGGGTCTAGGACTTTACAACATCAAAGATCGCGATTGGCAGATACAATCTTGCGTTGCAACCGAGGGAAAGGGTGTTAAAGTAAAACCTTATTTATTTTATTTATTTATTTATTATAGTAAATCGATATATATATATTATGTGTTTATATAATATAAAATTGAGAGAATCTAAATATTATAAATATATTTAATTTTTCTTCTTCTTTTTTTGTTTCTATTTAGGAAGGCCTGGAGTGGGCGTGTAAGAATATGAAAAAGAAATAATGATCATCTCTACGATCTATACAGCTTCTTCTACTTATATTCCACTTATTATTTATTTATTGCTTTTATCTAATATTTACAAGAAGACATTGACAAAATGCTTTTTATATTATTATTATTATTATTATTAAGTTCACTTAGATCGCTCCGATATTTTTTCCTCTGATTTTAGCGATCGTATTTTTGTTGCATTGCTTTATATTTCAAATAAAGTACGATGACTTAAGATCAATTACTTACAGAAAATACGAATTAGCAATAAGTTTGATAAAATAAAGTTAATAAGAATATAAACTATATATATATATGTATTCCAGTTAAATTAAGCTAATAGCTTTCGTACTATTGTGAAAGGATAAATATAATAAACGAAGATGGTAATTATTACCCAGCACTAAATGCATAAATCCTTTTGAACGAATGCTACCAAACGTAAAATGTTTTTCGCTTTTGTAACTATACGCTATTTTACTTGAAACGATAACAAACAAAAAAAAGTACACCACAAATGATAACGGTAGCTACGTTGCGCACCAAGTAGCCACTCGTATTATCTATATTATTAATATTAATTCTTTGTATGAGACATATATATATATATAAATCACTCACGGTTTATCGCGGCTTAACTTCCTCGTATGTACATACATACAAACGATATTATTAAAAACATCATTGTAATTGGTAAAAACGTTCACTGGCACTGGCAGCGAAGTGTCTCGATCTTTATTTAAAACGTCTCTTTGATATATCAGGACAACCAAGTTTCCCCGAATAATAATAAAAAAAAGTTCTTATAGACACGTTATTATCACGATATTCTCAAAGTTCGTTGTGTTCTATATTTTCGGTAGTTACTCTGATTTCTTCTTCGTGGAAGGACGTGCAATCGGCTGGATATTTGTTCTAAAGAAAGATAATGAAAAAAAAACAAATGAAAATGTATAAGGAATAATTTGTCATAATTATTAGAAAATGTTAACGACGTTAAAATATATTACTTACGATACATCCATCGTGTTCCATCAAAGATCCGTAAAGTGTCCAAAAGTTAACATTTATTTTATTACTGATTATCCAAGCAGTTGGAAAACTTGTGATCTTCGTTATCGTAGTACGTAACATCGGTACATTGTTTTCGTTCTTTTCGTTTAATGTACAAAGTATTTGACTCGCGCATTGTGGCTCTTTGATTGCCCATTTGTACACACGATGAGACTGTTAATATAACAACAGACGAATAAATCAATAAATCGATTATTTAACGATCGATCGAGAAGATATATATCATTGTTATACTTACTCTTAAAATGGGTTCAACGATATCGTTATTTATCGTATCACTCAACTTGTTACTGAGTTCTCTAGCACTTATTTTTGACATAATGAAACCTTTTTCAGAAGCCAAATTGACGAGTTCTTGAATATAAGCTATCGCTGGTCTAACATATTGACTACTATCGATCTTCATGTTCAAATGTTTCCTTGCAGCAACGTTTAACAATCTAATTTAATATATACGATTATAAAATGGAATTGGTGCAATTGGTGAAAAATATTGAGGATAAAGATTAAAATACGAACCTGGAAATGCTCTCGGTTGGTTTGTTAGCATCGAACATGACAGATCTTGGATATCCTTGAGATTTGAGGAAACTGTTACCAACGAATTGAACAGTCGTCAAGTAACGTTGTCTTGTAACCGGATCGGACACGTGTGCTATCCATTCGGCAACAAAATTAGTTAACAATTTGATCCAACGTCGACGCAATGAAGGATTCTCGAAACTTCCAAGTATCTTCTCGTATTCTATGTTACCATTTTCGTCCGACATTTGTGCGACGAATTCCGACAAGCCGCTCTTTTTCCAAATGGCATGAGCCAATTCGGAATTGCTAAGAATAATTATTTATTAATTTATATATATATATATATAATTAATAATTATTTATTTAGTATTTCTCTCGTCCAAAATTACAATTTTTAATGATAAAATTTTACAGGGAACTTGGACATGAAATGTCTTGTTGAGGACTTTAAATAATAACGATCTAATTAACGAAGTTTAAATGTGTTGTGTTTTGAATATTAATAAAAAGAAAAATGTATGTCAAATTAAAGAAAAAAGACGCTGAACTTTAAAGATTAAGTTGCTGAAGAAGTCCCAATAAAGGGACGAAACGTCCAACTCAATCAAACTAAGTTCTACTTCTTTTCATGTCCAAGTTCCCTGTAAAATTTTATCATTATTAATTATGTTTAATACAAAATACCTGAAGTGATCCCACATAACATGAAAATGTTCCAAGATGGGTGGCAGGAACCACGAATGTCCGGAATGATCGTGCTTTTTCGTAGAATCTCCTGGTAAACCGACATTGTTAAAAGTATTCATGATCATAGGTAAGAAACCTAAGAGTGCTTCCCCGTTGCCATGTTGTCCTAACAGCATGCTACCGAAATTGATCATGTTCTCGAAACTAAGGCCCTGTTCTTCTTTGGTATCTGGTACATTTCTGGTGGTCCTTTTTTTATCAGCTAATCCAGTCATCGATGAGAAAGTATTTATCAAAGAACCCCAGGATATATCGTTTGGATCGTTTCCATCGTTGGCTAGCATGTTACCAACTTTCAAAAGTATCTGTCCTAATCCATTATCCTCGGATTTGACATTTCCCGTTAGACTGCCGCTGATCTTTTTTTTTTATCAAAAGATAAATTTCAAATAGTAAAATACATTTTTATGGGCAAAGATAAAAATCAGAAAAATGATAATTTTTCTACCTGCTTGCCTACGTCCGATTGTACGAAAGCACTTGCTGCATTCTTTAGTCCACCGACTGCATCTTTATCCGTTAGAAATGTCTTGGCAGCTTCGATAAAGGCGTTAGACATGTCATGATCGTTGTCATCGGTCTCGCAATGACCAACCGTTAGCAGAAAAAATAGGAACCACGTTCTAGACAGTAATAGCCACATCATTCTCGGCATGTTTCTTATCTGTAAACAATATTTTTTTATAATATGATTATTCAAACGGTATTTGTTGTGCACAATTTTTTTTTTGTTTTTTTTTTGTTTTTTTTTTTTTGTTTCAATTTATATTCTAACGTCATTATTCCCGTATCTCGTCGAGGATGATTTTGAAGTGAGAAACAAGAATAAGATACGTAGGTGTCGTTGACCCCCTCTTCCTCGACGATTCCTTCAACCGGATCTCATGATTCTGGTCGAGTTATTTTAGGATGCCACAAAACTGCGACCCATTTCAACTATTTTCAACGTAATATCCAATACAATAAGGTTTTTTTTATTCGCTTAACGATCTAACAATTAGAATTTTTTTTATTTAAAAAACGTCATGAAATCCACCCGAGAAAGTTTTAATTACGATTTATATCTTTGATCGTGAGTCATACGTTTTGCTGTTTATCTTTCAGCAAATCCGATCCTTTCACCATAGGATATTAAATTTGTTCAAATGCGTTTAGTGTGTGTGTGTGTGTGTGTATTGTGTTGTCTTGTCTTCTTCACCTATGACTCGACAAATTTATTGCGTTTCGAAAAGTAAGGACGAACTTGATCGCTATAAAACTCCAATGTATCCCTCTAACGCGCAATTTGAGTACCGTAAACCGCATGAAATTGGCATTCTCTAAGCTTGGGTAACGATTCGTTCTAACGGTACGAGCTGTGTTGTTAGTCATTGCTCCTCCAACGCGCCAAACTCTTCGATTGACTGTGTCTACATTTGCCATTTTATTTGAAATCTTTTAGCAATTCTCATTTAAATCGAACGAACAAACAAACAAACAATAATCTTTCATTTCTATTAGCTATCATAAATATCGATATAAATTAGATACAAAGTTTGTCCGAGCTGCAAACGTGTTTACTGTAAGATTCAACATCTTCTTCTTCTTCTACTTCTTTTAAAACATTTCTATCGTTCATTTCTAAATACCGTACCGTGTATTTCATTTATTTTTTGTATGACTCATTTTTCATCCCATGTAAAGCAGATGTTCGAGACAGAGTTGAGTTAACGATGTAACGGATCGTATTGTCGAGTTATCGATTAATGATATATAAAAAAAGAAAAAGTAACCACACTGGGGATAAGCTGAGAAACATAATTCCCTGTAAGCATTAGTCACTTGTCAACTGTTTTCAAAAGAACCGTATTATTGTATTATCATGCCATTTATATCGATGAATTTTGTTGTAAACTTATAACCAAAGAACACAACGAGTCATATTTTTGTCAAGATTTAAATTCATATTTGTATTTATAATTGTAGATCATAATTTTTCTTAACAACAATGAGCCTTCATCTCGTTTAATTCGATGTTACTTATTTCATTAGCTTTTTAACGAGATATTAAGAATTTTATTTGTGCTTGTTTTTTTTCTTTCTTACTTTCTTTCCTTCATTCTGAAAATAAACGCTACAATTCTTCCACATTCGTATGCTTCACGACGAACCGGAACGGCAAAGAAGAGTTCAGTGCCGTGCATGTTTAATAACGCGTGCCGTTAAAGTACATGCAAGTCTCTTTCGATATTGCACGAAAATAATTTAACAGTTGTTTTGATTACTTTATAATATTGTAATAAGTTGTTAGAACGAAAAGCTTCTTTTTTCGTTTTTACAAAAGGTTTTTGCATTACGCGAAAATAGGAACGCATTCTCGAAAAGCATAAAATATTTATCTTCTTATCAACTTGTTGATAAAGTTAAGCCTTGACTCACTAGTATGTTGTCGAAACGGTTATGAGAGCGCTATTATAATCGAACCACATTATTAGGTATTATGTGCTATTAACTTACTTCCTAGTGCACATAAATATTATAAGAACATTTGCAATTTTATATTTTTTAATGGATAGATATAGTATATAAAACTTGACCCTCATGAATTATTGATTTACGAGTTAATTCATTTCCATTATATTTATATGTTAAGAGTTTAGTATTTAATTAAATTAGTTATTTAAATTAATTAGTGTATACATTTGTTACGTCCGGAAACGCAATATGTTAAATTTAACTAACTAAAGCCTGTTTTTGCCACTCTGCCTGTATCGAGTATAGCTAGGATCAGGCAGGTTCGTTTTTTCCAAAAGTTAAACAACAATAAAAATAGCAAATGATATTCGAATGTAGATAATTAACAGGAGGAGCGAGGAGGAATTCGGAGGATTCTTAGGAGTGGAGGTTAAATTCCGTTCACCGTTGTTCTGGTTCACAAGCCAATTTAATATTTGGAAACATTTACTTACAGTTTCGTCGATGTACAATAATAAATCCTTTAATTCAATGAGAGTAGCTTACTCTTCTAGATCGGGTCGCAATTAATGCATTTATAAAATTTTTTCGTTCCTTCGGTTCAGTCGGAATAAAGCCAAGATGATTAGGCATGTATGTAGTTGCACCAACACAATTACACGTTTTCTTAAGATTAAACAACTGTAGAATAACACTCAGAATATAACAAACAAAAGACTGATCGGTAATATAACAATCACTAAAATATTAATATAATAAGGAAAATCGAAACTAAGGTTTCAAAAAACCAGACTAAAGTTGGACGAAAATGAAGACTCAAGATTTTAATCAACAAGACTACAAAAGTAGGACTAAGACTTAGACTGGACAAAAAAGTAAAATTAAGACTCGCGAGGGCCCAATAATTGTCTTGGTGGGACAACTATATAGGTATATAACCTATATAGGTTAATAATTGTCCCACGGGCGCATTCCGCTGACCTAAACAATCCCACGAGCATTCCAAGAAGTACCACTGGCGGAGGCAGTAATTAATAAGTTTTTAACATTCATTTAAAAATTTTCTTATTTGATTTTTTTTCTAGGAATATTTATTTTCTACTGATGATCCTATACAACTTGATTTAAGTTCATCCGCCCGTCTTATTCTAACGGCTAACGGATGTGATTATTAAATTTCGGCTAGGTTGCACTTTTGGAATGCGTGTGCATTGCCGTAGAGGACAAATAGGTCGAACATGTGCAAGGAATAGGGAGGAAATTTTCCGGTATATATCATGTAGTGGAAAAATACTGAGTGAAATTAAGTATTGATAAAGAAGAAATAATGTTTTAGAAATTATAAGCGTGGCGGGACGTCACACATTGTACAATTGATTATTTATGAAAACTATCTTATTAAAATAATTAATCACCTTTGAGAGTATTACAATTATAAATGACTTTAGATCCTGTTATTTCTTAATTAATAGTTTCAATTATGAAGCACGAGTACTGTTTAATGAATTTGACTTTTCATTAAACATCTATATAATGAAATAATCGAGCGTGGCACATGGTCTCGAATGGAAAATCATGGATCGTCTTAGATGTTAAAAAAACAAAAAAATACGGAAAATAAGGATATGTGTGCGTGTTTGTGTGTGTGTGTACGGTTGTCTGGATTTCGAGGTAACGATGTAATTAAAATGGTTAACTGGTTCGGAAACTTTACTATCACGAATGACGACTGTATTGTAATAAGTGCAGCAATCGTTATCAAGTAGAACAAACAAATAGAAAATTTACAAAACTACGAAATAAATAAAGGTCAAACGAATTCGAAAGACGAATGTGGTTCAAGTATTGATCGATTCTTCGAAGAAACATTAACACTCGTATTAATTCTTACGATAAGAGGAGCATTAATTAAGAAAATTGAAATTAGATCATAAATAATTATTCAATTATTTTCTCTATTGAGAAAAATCCCAACATATTATTTGTTCTAATATAATTTCTACAAATATTATATATATATTATTGTGTATTTAATAAATATATTAAAAAAATAATTTACCAAAAAACGGATGTGATATAATCTGTCGCTTTTTAATTCCAAAAGCACGATATTGTAGAAGTAGAAAATCGTCTTCTCGTAGAATGAATTCCAGTGAAATGAAGAAGAAGAGGAAGAAGAAGACGCGCTGGTTGTCGACTAGAAAGATTCAGCAGTTCTCTTGTCTCTACTACCATACACTTGACACAGCAAAGGTTGTGGCGTGACTGGTGTTCAACGTAGCCGGACGAACGGTACTTACTTACCTGAGCGAACGAGCTTACCTGGCCTACGAACGTACAAGCCAGGTAAGACGGGACGAGCAGGAGGATGCACTATTAAACGAATACGATACAGCACCGTCACCTTTTTCTTTTTTCTTTTTTCTTTTCCTTCCGCGTGCCCCTTTCTCTCTATTTTTTCGTTTTTTTTTGTTTTCTTTTTTATTTTAATTTATTTTATTTTATTTCAATTTTTTACCGAAGCAATTTTTGTTTTAATCGAACTTAACAAAATACTACTTCCATTTGGTTTCAATATAATCTTCATTTTTTTAATTATTTAATTCTACACTCGCGCACATAGATGAATGAGGGGGAAACAATGTTATAAATAAAAAAAAAAAACGAAGAGAAGAAAGTGTATAATTATTTTGAAAAAAAAAAAAACAAAAAAAAGAAAAAAGAACAAAACGTTTGTATATAACCAATAGTACGGCAAAATATCAGGAAACATTTAATTGGTCGGTTTCTTAACGGTAACGTCTCCGTAAAAATGGCTCCGAGTGGCGAGAGCGAGTCATTGACCTCCCCAAAAAATTAAGGGGGAACTAAAATCCGTGGACGGTAACATTATTAGCCATTCGATTCCAAGTACCAAGGTCGCACCTTGTTCGATACAATGCCAGGAAGGAACATTCAACCGGTTCCAAAGTGTGGCTCGGTGCCAAGATTTAAGTGCCAGATGATCGTTTGCATTCCTTCATGGATTTATTTATTTTCATTTTTATCCCACGAATCGTCGTTTAAATGCGCGTGATTCTTGATAAATACGAATTTCCGATTTGTTTTCTTTTTTTTTTTTTACAATAATTTTATTTGTATTCTAAACGTAAGTGAAATAAGAGATATGCATTAGTTTGAAAAAAAGAAAAAAAAATTAATTTTTTTTGCTTCGTCAACAATTTTAACTATTATCGAGCGTAATCGATGGTATACGTGTGATAACAAAAATCAATAATAGTGTTCGTTTAGATCATTATATTATACTTTATGTTTATTTCTGTTTAATTAACCTATTTTTCTTTTCGTTACCTTATTAACTAGTTCATTATGCTACGTGGCATAAAGAAATGTGCTGATACAATATAATCTACAATATGACAAATATTTTAACCACCTGAGTCATCATTTTGTTTTCTCTTTTCTTTTTTCTTTTTTTTTTTAGAAATAAATGGGTTAAAACATTTATATTAGCCGTAAATATTTCATGTATACTATATTACTCTTTCATTTTTCTTTTTTCAAAATGTTGTTAAGAAAAAATATTATATTAATTAGCGTGATAAATAATGGACGACATTACTTCACCATACGTTTTTATTTTTTTTTTATTTTTTTTTCACAAAATTTACCAATAAACTAAATATTTATATTTACGTTTAATTGTTCATTAAGTGGTAACGAATTTACGAAAGAAAATGTTTATCTAAATATTTGTATTATTCGTTGAATTTAGTATTTAAAAGGCACGTAGGTTTATTGCCAAATGTCTTTCCATCGTTTATTATTAGACTGGAATAGGTAATTTTATTTGAAATACGTCAATAAAAAGGTATAATTAAGGCTTATTTACTTATCTAATAATTAGACGATCGTTTTGTGAATTTCTCGGATAAAATGGACTTCCACAAACATTTAACATTAGGCTACCTTTACTCATAATGTTTTAATTTTTTCATTGATAAGAATAAAACGTCGTAGTTTGCATATATGTATAATATAAATCGTTAACATTTTACATCATACGTATTTTTTAACGTTTCATTCGTTGTCTTTACAAAGATACGGTCTTTTTTGTTGCATTTTTAATGCACTTCACGTAAAATATCGGAGTTTGTTAACTCGTATTAAAATACTTTAATTCTTTTAGTTTGAAAACACAATGAATGAAATAACATTCGAATATTTGAATGTTTTTTACCTAAGTTATTTTCATTTTTAAATGACTATCGTCATTGAAACATACGTTTATACGTCGTTGTACGATCGTACTAGTTTCGCAAAACATCAGAGAAACGATGAGGTATGAAAAATTGATTAGTTTAACAACCGGCTCACGTACCACCATCCATTTTCCTTTTCTTTTCGTTGTACGTATTTATAAATAATGAATGAAAGGCTTCGAAAATGAAAAAATAGATATTTTCTACTTATCAATTGTAACCAAAGTAAAGGACTCGAACGAAATATGATGACATAGTTATAGTATGCTCTTTAAAGGTGTGTTATTTAGCTTACCACACATATGTGTACATTCATTTTGGCGATATTCCTTACGAGAAAGCGAAGGAAAACGATTTAAACGTGAATAAATGATCAAAGCAGGTAGAACATAAAACTCGTCTCTTTCTTACGTATTTCTTTTTTTCTTTCCTGTAATATCGTATACTCCAGTTGAAGAAAGAAAGAAGGAAGAAAAACATAGTTTCCTTTATATCAATCGATGTCCAAGATGACGAGGAAACAAGCTTGGAATGAAGAAACTATTTACGCTTTGAAGTTGTACGAAACATTTCTCGGATTAATCGGAGTTTGGCCTTTCGATGTTGAAAAATTGTCATCCAAGTTACGTTGGTTTTTGGCTATTTTGATACAAGTTAGTCAACAAGTTATCGTGATATCAATTTAATTGTTATCTTACCGCGAGATTTTATTAAATTTACAAATTGAATTTATGTGAAAATAATAAAACTAGTAATTGACATATTTTGTTCAGATGAGTACGATAATTAGTTTATCATTGGAGGTTTATCTACATTGCGTTGATCTCGATGACACCATGGATGCATTTTTAATGGATCTTTCATCGGTCGTCAGTATCTCTAAATTATTGCTTACGAGAATTAATTGTCAATATACTCTATCATTGGTGTCATCTATCGTCAAGGATCTTTCATTTTTGGAAGATTCTGATCAAAGAGAAATTGTGATGAAGTATACTTCCAGGGGAAAAATCGTTTCAGCTACTATACTATATTTAGGTTATGCGTCTGGCTTTAGTTTTGTTTTCAGAACACTACCGTTGCATTACATTCTACCATTCAATTCTAATATTAACGAGAGCAGCAACACCAAATCAACGATTTATTTTTTATCAACTTATTGCGTTTTCGAAGATCAATCGGGACTTTGGCGTACTGGGATTCTTATTCTTCAAGCTATGCAGATATTTGTTAATGCAACCTCTCATTGTGGAAACGATGGATTTTTTTTCGGTATTGCGATGTACCTTTGCGGTCAATTCGAAGTACTCAAAATGAATTTTGCCAATTTGAAATGTAAGAATAATCGTTCTAATCAAAAATTTGACACACTCGTAAGGAGACATTGTCATTTGATTCGTCTTGCTGATAATTTGGAAGAAGCATTTAACATGATAATATTGATACAATTGTTGATGAGTGCTTTGCTTCTTTGCGTCGAGGGTAAATTTTTCTGATGTATTCTCATTATTATTTATTATACAATCTGATCAAAGTGAGTTTGTTTATTTTTCAGGCTTTCAAATGTTGGTGTCTCTCGATGAAAATGATACGATTGCAGCTGCCAAACATGCAGTCCTTATCGTAACCCTACTCGTTCAATTATTTATTTATTCTTACGCAGGTGACATGTTAGAATCTAAGACAGCCGAAATAGTTCTCGGCGTTTACGATTCTTCGTGGTATACTTTCGACACTAGTTCCATCAAAAATCTAGCCTTCGTCATGTTTTATGGTAGAATACCACGGCAAGTAACGGCAGGAAAATTTGTTTCTATGAATCTTTTAACATTCAAAGAAATTATCAAAGCTTCGGCATCGTATTTTTCCGTACTTAGAGTAGCTTTGTACGAATGAAGAAGTATCGTTGTTTTATACATTAAAATTGTCTCTGAAAATTATTCGAGACTTACGAAACAAGCGAATGGAATTTTGCAAATTTCATGAATTAGAATTAATCGAATACATAACTTACCCCTATTTCCAGTTCTATTTTCTTTTTTTTCATTAAATAGAAATTCATTACAGTCGATAAAACTGTCGTAGATTTTTGTTTAGAATGTTATTTTTTAGGAGCAACAGGTGTGCGAGAACATTGCCTAAAAATGTGTATGCAAACGTATACAATTCAGTTTAATTGTTAACGTGGAACGATTAGTTTATGACGATGAGTCTTGAAAAACGTTTGTATGTTTGTTAAACGAATCTATTATACTTGGAACTCTTGGCTTATGCGTTCGTTCAACAAATTTCATTCGAATTCTTGAAAATAATCTTTTTTGTTTTGTTTTTAAATATTTCTGATTTGTATTATTTGTAATTGCATGCATCGACAGAGACAGTCAATGAAGTACCAATAGATTTTTATCAAATAATTATATTGTTGAATAATTTTAAACCTTTCGTTTCTAAAAATTCATACACGAGTCGTATTATGGCTGTATCGAAAGGATTAATAATTATTTAAAAATATGTAAAATAGAGATATGATCACGGAAATGATCATTTTTATAATATCTTAATAAATTGTTTGTAGGAAATTATGTTCGGAAATTTACATTGTTAATTAATAGTGGATTATGATAGGTGTTCTATTATTGACTGTCGGTGTATTTACTTTCTTCCTTATTAATTCATCAACTTACCTGTTCGTCAATGATCTTTCGTCGATATAGATTTATCAATTATGACCAGTTAAAAAATGGCTCTTTGCAATAACGTTACTTCTTGTTTTTTGAAAACATACCAAATTGTTGAAGATTTTAAACGATTTCAAAACTTGTACAGGTTCCTTTTTTACTGGTCGAGTCGTCGTTAAGAAAGGCACCGACTTCACACGATAATTGATGACTTCTCTTCAACCAATGAAGTCACGTAATCCTCTGCTGAACAATATAATCATTTTAATATTTTTTACCTTTATAAACGCAAATAATTATTTGTTAGTTGATTAATTTAAAGTAAAGTGATTTTCAACAACAACAAAAAGTGTATATTTTTTTTTAATCGGAGCTCACAAACACTCATCCAATTGGATTTTTCATGATTTTATTAAACATTTATTCCGATCAAAGATATTTTTCATATCTTGCACCAATAACACTACCCGAAATGAACATTGATCGCATAACACCTAACCATCGGAAATGCAGTTACTGACTTAGATGGATAAAGACATTTTTCCTATTCCACATTTTTATCAGCAGATGTGAATAAAATATGAATCATCTATCGATGATAGAAATATCCTCTTGGACAGGAAAAAAAGAAATTTACTTGGAACAATTTTACTGGAGAAAACATTTGCGAATGTAACACTCTACTCTTATTTCAAACAACATAAAAGAAGGAGTCTTTTGTTTGTAATATATCCATTGGAATACGAACGTCATAAAACGCATTACTGAATAATACTATAATGTCGATACGCATACATTGTCGTATGCAAAATTGTTCAGCAAAATATATTATCTTATATAAAATTATGCGATATCGTCTATAATGTTACCACTCACGCGATGGATAGGGTAGGATAATAGATTTGTTCGAATTGAATCGAATTACGAAGCTCGTGCGCATTTTCCCATAGCATTTACTATTCATCTTCCCATCGATTTCATTTAAATTCTTTCTTCGCGATCTTGCACGAATAATACATAAGATAGTTAAAACCATTACAACTTGGATGCACTTTAGGAAAAACATTATCTTTTTTCCTCTTTTATTATTATTATCATTTTTTATTAGACGATATTGTTTCGTTATCGTTAACTCGATGCAAATGCATCAAGAAAAATGAATAACATAAATGATGTTGTCTGGACTACCGAAGCCAATTATGCTTTAGGAACATACAAATATATTACTTGGACTACTGGCACGTGGCCGTTAAAAAAAGAAGGATTATTTACGATGATTCGTTTTGGTATCGCTTTTGCATTAGAGGTACGTAAATGCTTATACGATACTTTTACTTTCTACGAAGTAGTGTGGGAAAGAATGCTGCTCTAGGAATTTGACTTTAGTCGTCAGTTCACATTTCATTGCTAAATAAAAAATATATATAATAGATCTTATTGATTGTTATATTTATCGTTTAACATAGTTCGGCATACTCGTTTCCGTTTTGATGGAAATTCGATTGAATTGTGGCACGGCCGACGAAACTTTGGATTTCTTTGCATTGACTGCAGTGACAATTGCTGGCTTGACAAAATTAATTCTGGTCAAAGTTCACCGAGAAGATTTACAAAGAATTCTTTTGTCAGCGCTCAAGGATTGGAACACGCTAGTCGATAGTTCATTGGAAAAAAAAATATTATGGAAGTATACGTACCGCGGTAAACTTTTATGCCGAATACAGATGGGGTTCGGTTTAGTTATCATAACTGCGATGACTTTGGATGCTTTGCTGGCTGCGATATCTTTTCAACCGGTCAATGAAAACTCGACTGAAGAAATTTTCAGACAGACACCTCTTAGGACAATGTGTATCTTTGGCGACATGACAACCTCCACTTATTGGACAGTATTTGTTTTTCAAGCTGTTCAAATGATCAATGCTATCGCCGTTGATATGGGAAACGACGTTTTCTTCTTTGGCATTGCCATGCACATTTGTAGCCAACTGCACGCCCTGAAAGTATTTTTCGATCAGTTCAAATCAGAGGAATCGAAAGATCGTATAAAGAAAATCGATGATTTCGTTAACAGACACTCACACGTTTTGGATCTTGCTCAAAGATTAGAGTACACTTATAACAACGTTTTATTGGCAGTTTTGATGGCAGATGGATTGCACATTTGTTTGGCAGGTAATGTTAAATCTTTTAAAATACAAGAACGTTTAAATGATTTTAATATTATTTTCAATCGTCAGGTATCCATATACTTTTGTTATCCAAACAATACGACATGGTTCAACTTTTGAAAACGACCGTTGCGTTTTTGGTCGTATTGGCTCAACTTTTCTTATACAGCTATACCGGGGAATATTTGTCTACGTTGTCCCAGGACATTTGCAACGTCATTTATCAATTTCCTTGGTACGAGTGTTCACCCAGTACAATTAAAAATGTAACATTCATTATAATGAGAGCACACGAGCCGTTACGTCTTACCGCTGGTAAATTTTATACCATGAATCTTGAAAATTTTAAAAATATTTTAAAAGCATCTTTTTCATATTTTTCCGTTCTACGAATAATGTTCGACGAATGATTTTATTATACGTTGGTCATTTGTTGCATTTAAAAACGATTATCAATGTTATTACTAAAATTGTACAAAAAAAAAGAAAAAAAAAGAAATGGAATGAAAATAGCATAAAATATTGGTTGTACGATCGGAATCGATATATTCATAATGCGTGCCTTAATTATGTAAAAGTTCACGCCTTAGTCCTATAGGGAATTACTAAGTGCTAACGTTTGCACCACCACCATTCGGATCTCGAGTGCATGCGCTCTGTTGGGCCCATTACCAAAAAACACTCCTTCTATTCTTCATTGGTTCAATCACGTGTTTTCATTTTATTTTAATTCCATCGTATCTTCCTCAAAACCAATCATCAGAGGACTCCATATTGGAGAAATCTGCGTAAATACATTGATAGTAAGATGTATGACACGATATATGATTAGAAATTTGATTTTCATCATGATGAGAAAAGCAGGATCCGTTGCAAATCGTTTTTTTTTTTATATAAATCTAATGAAAACTAACGAATAATACTTTTACAGTATTATTTGTAGAAAGTTTATTAATCATGCTTACTCTGTTTTTGGTTAATCTTAGCGATCTGCTTTTAAGTTTCATTTTCTACAATCCAGATGTATTTCTTGTATCTCTTATCACCTTTTCAAGTATATCAAACTAAAAATTCACTATACACAATATCAACGAAGTCTTCTTTCCAAGTTGTTGTACCGAGTCTACTTGATGCAAGACTGCGCGTAAATGTTCGACATTTTTATCAGTGGCTATAAGTAAAATATTATACATTAGCAGGGGGGGGGGATGGAAAAAAGTACGTTTTGTCATATCCGAATATTAGTAAACAAAATATATTTACGGGAAAAAAGAGAGAGAGAAAAAAAAACGTTTTTCGAAAATAATTTCAGAGAATTTCTATAGAAAGGAGAAAACTTGGCGGTGGCAACGCTATAATTCGATTACGCATATGGCATGAAAAATATAAGCCAAACCTAAAATTATACGACATAGTATGCGACGTCAAACGCACGCGCAAATGGTCATAGTTCGTTGCATATGGTTACGAATTACAAAGGTAGTGTTCATATTCTCATAGCCTTTACCCCTTTTCCCAATAATTTCGTTTAACATATTCCTCACAATCATGCAACAATAATACCTGCGACTTGATCCATATACTTTTGATGAAAATGTTCTCTCTTATTTTATTCCACACTGTCATAAGAAAAACATAGTATCTTCGCGAGTCCATCGCTAAAAATGGATACGGAGAAGGTTGTTTGGAATCCTGACGCCACGTATGCTCTAAGAACATATAAATTTATAACATGGATTACTGGTACCTGGCCGCTACAGGATCAAGGAATATTCGCGATTATTCGCTTCACTATTTCCTTCATTTTAGAGGTAGTACTTGTGTAATATTCATTTCGAAAAAATACAAAATAAAAGAATTACGCGAATCGTGATAGAGATCATTGAAGAAATAATAGAAAAAAAGAATTAATAACAAATGTTTTATTTATAGTGTAAATTAATGTAATTAATATAATGTTTAATTTGTCTTTTTTAACTCGTATGTTTGATAACAGTTTGGTATACTAGCTTCTATTCTACTCGAAGTTTATCTAAACTGTGGAGACGTTGACAAAACGCTAGAGTTCTTTGGTATATCAGCAGCTATGATTACGGGTTTGACGAAACTCGTTTTCATCAAGCTGCATCAAGAAGATTTACGAAAAATCATTTTGTCGGCAATCAAGGATTGGTCCTCGATCATTGACAATTCGTCGATGAAGAAGATCACATGGAAGTATACTAATCGGGGATTATTGGTGTGCCGCGTTCAAATGAGCTTAAGTTTTTTAACCGTTGTAACAATGATCATGGATGCCCTACCATCGTCAAATAGTTTTCAACAGAACAATGCAACATTCAACGAAGAAGATATTAGACAGGTTCCATTGAGGACCATGTGTCTTTTTGGCAACATGTCTACTCCTATTTATTGGACAGTATTCAGTTTACAGGGTGTCCAGTTATTCAATTCGATAATTGTCAATATAGGAAACGACGTATTTTTTTTTGGAATTGCTATGCACGTTTGTGGCCAACTCGATGCGTTGAATATTTTTTCTGACGAGTTCAAAGCGAACAATGAAAATGATCAACTTAAGAAAATCGGAGAATTTGTTCGTAGACATTTGCATCTGTTGGAAATGGCTCAATTGATCGAAAACACCTATACTAATATTCTTTTAGTCAATCTAATAACTGGCGGATCGCATATCTGTTTAGCAGGTATTTGATTTTTCATATTTTTTATTAACATTATTCTTTATATAAATGATTATTGTTTTAATCACATATTTTTTCTATTTTCACACACACAGGAATACAAATAATTTTTCTATCCAATACAATCGACGTAGTTCTTCTGACGAAAGTCGGTTCTGTTCTAATCATCATTTTGGTTCAACTTTTTCTCTACAGTTATGCAGGTGATTACTTGTCATCATTATTCAAAGATGTTTGTCAAGTTATTTATAATTGTACCTGGTACGAATTCTCTCCGAGTCACGTTCGCAATCTGATGTTTATTATCATGAGAACCCATATACCATTTAATCTTACGGCGGGTAGGTTTTATATCATGGACATTGAAAATTTCAAGAACATCGTTAAAACGTGCTTCTCCTTCTTTTCCGTTTTACGAATTGTATTCGAGGAATAAAAGATTGATCTTGTGTAAGTGTAGAAAAATAATGATATTGAATCTTCTGTGATCTTTTGATTATCATTTATTAATTGTAATTTAAATTGTTCATTGGTTGCATCAGATTTATTTTGATAAAAGTAAACATTGTTTACCGAAATTTGTAGCTTTAACGCCTACGATTTTTCATCAAAGGCAATTGGTATATCCATCTTGCTGAACAATTTGCATTAATAACAATAAAAAGAAAAAAACATATGAGCACAATTGTAAAATGCGTCAAAGAAGAAATATAATACCTTACCGCAATAATATTACACGACAAACAAAAGTACAAAGAAAATGTTTACGAAGATGGAAGAAAGGTACTTGTTCAATGCCAACATTCGTAGACGCGAATGGCATAAGAAACTTATAACTCGACGCTATAATTCAGTTAGGTGGATAGATGGTCAGAAAAATATAACCTAAGCTGCAATAAAATAATGCGATATTGTCTATAATGTTAGTACTCTCGTAGTAAATGACCGTATGTTCACTTTCCCATAATCTTGCTCATCCCTAATAATTTTGTTTAGATCATGTGCGAATAATACATGCGATAGTTTTGCTCCATACACCGGAGATGTATTTGATAACAATTTTGTTTCCACTTATACTCATTCCTCTTGTTTCCTTTTTTATTTTTATTCTTTCGTATCGGAGTGTTAACGTTGTTTCGTCGCGAGTAAACCCGACAAAATGGCGATCGACGATGTAGTCTGGAGTGCTGATTCCGTCAATGCACTGTGGATGTACAAATACATAACTTGGACAACTGGTACGTGGCCTCTACAAAGGGAAGGAATATTTTCGACTATTCGGTTCTGTGCCACATTTCTTTTAGGGGTACTGCAATACTTTAACTTACTAACAATATAAAATATATTAGTATATAAACGTTAAGCGTTTTAAATATTACGAAATCATCATCTGATTTATAGTTCAGTACTTGACTGCTATTATCTATCACAGTTTGGTACATTAGTTTCCATTCTAATGGAAATTCGACTGAGTTGCGGTAGTACCGACGAAACCCTGGATTTTTTTGGAATCTTTTTGGCTACGGTGGCAGGTCTGACTAAATTAATCTTCATCAAGTTGCATCGTGATGATCTACGGAAGATCCTTTTGTCAACGCTTAAAAATTGGTCAGCTATAGTTGAGAGTTCCTCGGCAAAAAAAATTATGTTAAAATACAGCCAACGTGGCAAATCCGTGGCCCGTATGCAGATGAGTTTTGCTTTTGTCATCATCATAACTATCATCCTGGATGCCATGCCTTTGTCGGAATCCTCTTCTAAACAGGATAATATAACCACGAGCGAAGATTTACCTAAAAGAATACCTCTTCGAACTATGTGTGTCTTTGGTAATATGTCAACGTCTACTTATTGGACAGTCTTCGTTTTGCAGGCAATTCAGTTAGTCAACGCTGTACTCATTGAAAGTGGAAACGACGTTTTCTTCTTCGGCCTTTCTATGCAGATTTGTGGTCAATTGGGTAGTTTACAAATACTCTTTGAAAAATGTCGTGGCCAAGAAGAGGAGGATCGTATCAAGGAAATCGAACAATTCGTTGACAAACATTCGCATCTGTTGGATATAACTCGACGAATCGAGGACACTTTTCATTACGTTCTTTTAATAATTCTAATGACCAATGGACTTCACATCTGTTCAACAGGTAAATAGATTATGTATGTTTTAAACCGATTATTAATCGATTTTATTTCGTACAAAATATCTTTTTTAATCTTCAGGTATACAAATATTGATGCTGTCCAAACAAAACAACATTGTTCCTTTGATCAAAGCCGTCGTTGCGTTTGTCGTCATATTGGCACAACTTTTTTTATACAGTTACGCCGGTGATTTTCTCTCGTCGTTGACATTAGATATTCATCGATTGATTTACAATTTTCCTTGGTACGAATTTTCCTCGAACAATGCTAAAAATGTCTTATTCATAATCATGAGAGCACACAAACCATTTCGCCTGAGAGCAGGCAGATTTTATCCAATTGATTTGGAAAGTTTCAAGAACATTTTAAAAGCATCTTTTTCATATTTTTCCGTTTTACGAATTGCATTTGAGGAATGATTTCCATGCGTATTATTTATTAATAGAAAATTGTTACTAAATAATTAATCGTCGCATGGTACGACTTCTATATGGATAAATAGTAACAGAAACAATTAACAGCGATTACTTTATTTAATATTGTTATTACTTTTATAATATAGCTTTAGGCAAATGCAGAAAGAATATAAGAAAAAAACCTATATGACATATCGAGCGAAGGGACATATATAATAAATAAAACACTAATTAAATAAAGCAGACTAATTACTTAAACATATAACAATACTTCGTTCGATTTAAATCACATTATTCATTTTCAACAAAATATTCAAACATTGTCATTCACAAGTATAGTATATGTTCTATACGATAAAACAAACCTTGTATGAAGTCGACCACTTGGTACTCGCCATTTGTTTCAATTATTTCCAATTTTTGCGAAGAATATTTGTCATCATCTTGAGTTTTTATTATTTTTTCGTTAAACGATACTTCCTCACTGAAAATAATGTCTTCGACGTTCGTAATGTGTTGCGACTTAGAAGAACGAAATAGACACACTGTGTGATCTTTGGAAACATAGTCGAAGTAGACCAGAGCGCATGCTCCGAGAAAAAAAAAACTAACATAAGAAAAGGGTAAGGAAGATTGCAGCAGAGAGTAGCGTTCAGATTAAATAAGAAATGAGTTAGGAAATGTTTCTCGCTACGTAACTGCTCATCTTGTATCGTATTACGAAAATGTATAGATCGTTCGATAAAATGACGACGAATGATAGTGTTCAATCAGCACTACTGGGATAGGCCATCAACCAAAAATGGGAAAAAAACCGTGGAACGATGAGGTTGCATACGCTATGAACTTTTACAAATTCTTAACGTTACCGACAGGTGTTTGGCCACTTCAGGATTACAATTTTTTCTCCAAAGTCCGTTCCGTTGTAGCAATCGGTTGTCAGGTAAACATTATTTTCATATTTTTAATACTATTGTAAAAACAACATTGCAAATTATTTTTCTATTTTACAGATATTCATGTTAATATTTCAATGTAAAGAACTTCTCGATGGGTGCAACTACAGCCATGTCAATTTGGACAGTCTTACAATAATCGCGTGCAACATAATGGCAATCATTAAAATCGCTTGTTATCGATATTATTCTCAACACTTAATCGATAATTACAAAAGTGCAATAAAGGATTACTCGGAAAGTAAATCCTTGAAAGATTTTGGGATTATGAAAAGGCACGCATTCATTGGGAGAAGTTTGTGTTCCAGTTTAATATGTTTCTCATACTTTTCAACGTCGATCTTCATGATCGCACCTTTCTTCATGGGTGTCGAAGGTACGACCATAAACGGCACGAGGACGAGTCTTCCTAAAACGTTGAGTTATCCGATGCCTTCCGATTGCACTTTGGGAAGTTTCAATGTTTCTATTGGATTATATTGTTTTATTTCTGCGTTGGATATCGTATTGCTGATTAGTACGTGCAATGGCAATCTTGGTAAAGTATCCTTTTACGATTATTATCTTCAACAAAATTATTTCAATAAAAATTAGTTACACAAACGTTTCATTTTGAAGGTAACGATTGCCTTTTTTTCGGTATTACCTTGCATGTTTGCGGACAAGTGGAAATATTGAAGACACAGTTTACACGATTTAAATTTCAAAAAGGGATGAAACAAAAATTCAGTCATTTGTTGTCGAGATATAGCGAATTGTTAACTTTGGCCGAATATCTCGTCAATACTATCAGCATCGTTTTGGTAGCACAATTACTCGTCAGTTGTATACTCATCTGTATCATAGGTATCATTCCCCACGTGTATTAGGGTGATCTTTCTTTTACGTATTTTGGAATTTTCTATGAAACTCTTTCTAAACAAAAAAAAAACAAAATATTCAAGGTTTCCAATGTATTTTGGCTCTGCATTATTCTGATATCTTCATGTTCACCAAGTCGTTGACCGTGCTGAGTACTTTTCTGTTGCAACTACTCATCTACAGTTACGTTGGAGAATACTTAAGAAATCAAATGGAACAAGTTGGTTATGCCGCTTATGGGAGTGCATGGTATGATTTTCCGATATCTTGGAGGAAGGATTTGATCTTTCTAATAATGAGATCGCAACAACTTGTTGAAATAGCAGCTGCTTATTTTTTCCCGGTAAACATGCGAACTTTCATGAGTATCGTTAAAACCTCTCTCTCGTATCTGTCAGTACTACGCGTAATGTTATTACAAACGTAATATGTGATAAACAAAACAAATAAAGATTCGCACCGGTTATTATTAGTCGCAATATTTTTAATATTCTATTGATCTGACCATAATTGTTCTTACTTTTTCCTATAATCAAATTATTTCTCGATAATGATGGGCTCACTATTTTTCTTGTGATTATGATAATCAAGAAGATCGAATACGTCCTATTAGTATAAAGATTCTTATACTGTATTTTATAGTAGACGTATGAAATAACCATAAGCGTGAATTTTGTCTGAACATATGTTACGACACATTTTCCTTTCTATATCTTCTTATACTTTAGGACAATTGCAATGGGAACGAATCAAGGAATCTATACGACAATAGAAGAACGTTCGAAATTTTTGTTCAAACACGTTACATTTCTCTTTATTTCTCTTTTTCTCTTTCTCTCTCTCTCTTTCTCATAGCAACGTTTCTACAACAAGAAATGGTGTCAGTGACAACGTTCCATTTCGGCTGAGGTTAGAAATCGCCGTCTTGATGATAAATTTGTCGGTTAACACAGCTGTTAGTATCGAATGAAATGTGCCTTAAAAAGACCGCTGTTTCGTTTCGGACTCTACAGCGAATTCTTGTAAGGTAATTACACGGAATACATTTCTATGGAAATAAAATAACTCTACTATGGGATAATAATTAAAGGTAATCTGCGTACAAGTTCGTATCGATTAGCATTTCGAGATAAAACGATCACGCAATTTTAACAGGTTACTGTCCAGTTCAAAAAGCGGGGATGGTAAGAAAAAAGAAGCATGCACAAAAGTAACGAAGAAATTCGAATCGTGCCAGTTGGATCCTTGCATGTTGGATCCGTGCAAGCCAGAACCGAGTGTGGTTATCATTGGGGCAGGAATGGCAGGATTATCAGCAGCTCATCGTTTGGCACAATGCGGGCTGCACAATTTTACGATACTGGAGGCAACGGATAGGTAACATTCTGTTTACCTTATGTCAAACTCGAATAATCTTTGGTGGTCTAATAAAAAAAGGTTACTTTCATTTGTATTCGATACTACGAATAACTGAACTAAAGTTATGCGTTGTTTCGATTGTCAGGCCTGGCGGAAGAATTCATTCCTGCTGGTTGGGAGATGTCGTTGCCGAAATGGGAGCAACCTGGATAGAAGGTGGATGCCTGACGAATCCTATTTTTACCTTGGCAGCTCAGGAAGGACTTTTAAAAGCCCCACTCTCCAGACCTGAGCCAAATCATGGACTCTTTTGTACCAGTGATGGTCGTGCGATCGATCTACCAATCAGCATCACAGCATTCCACACCTTCCGACAGATCGAACAACAAGCTGCTGCCCTATTTTCTTTGGGATGCGGTCGTACCCACGGTACGTTGCTGAATTTCATGGGAATCAGAATACAGCAGGAGCTACACAATTTCCCGGAGGAGCAACGGTACAGTTGCGATGTATCCTCGTATACACAAGGTGGGCCATTTTAATAGGAACATCTTGTACATTTTGAAATCATTTTGAAGATCAAGATATTGTGCTTAACACCATTATAAACAAAGTTACACATTCCGGTGTTCCTATTTAAATATTCCACTATGTATGGAGATATTTAGGTTAAACATTCACTTTAGGTCTTACCTCATTGTATTATGCGACGAACTTAATGACGTATTAAAGATTAATTATTATCGTTCATATCGTGAGAAAAATTCCTCTGTATCATTCTCATCATTTTAGATACGATGCTGCTAGGGTAATGTACGGTCTTACAAATTTTATGAGATGTCGTTGCGGTGACGATCTTTCTCTGGTATCAGCCGATCAGTTTGGTAGTTACATTGAGATACCTGGTGGAAATGTAAGAGTACCGCTTGGATATGTCGGTGTTTTAGCACCTTTGCTCAGGGATTTGCCGAGTTGTTGCTTAAAGTAAGTTTACATTTAAAAAATCGACCAATTTTGGGTTTAATTTTTTCTTTCTCTTTATTGTTTTGTGTAGATACTGTAAACCAGTGAGTTCCGTCAGATGGGGTGCTATCGACGATACCTATCCACGTGCTGTGGTAAAATGTTGCGATGGTGAAGAACATCCAGCTGATTATGTAATCGTAACTCTACCTCTTGGCGTATTGAAGCATCAACACGACAAAATGTTTTGTCCATCTTTACCGGCCGAAAAAGTCGAGGCCATCGCTAAACTAGGATTTGGTTATGTTAACAAAATATTTCTCGAGTATGCGAGACCTTTTTGGGTTTGGCGGGAAGGTGGAATCAAGTTGGCCTGGTCCGCTAATGAATTGGCTGATAGATGCGATTGGGTTAAAGGTTTCCTCTTTTTTTTTATTTGCAATTATTTTCCACAGTTTTTTCTTTTTTTTTTTTTATTATCCTCGAATAAAAAATTAAATTTTTGTAGGTATCTCCTGCATCGAGGAACTTCCAAGCTCGCAACACGTATTGTGTGCTTGGATTTGTGGCAAAGAAGCTGCAGAAATGGAATTACGTTCGGACGAAGAAATAGTCGAATCTATAACCCGATTGCTTCGACAATTCACGGGAGATCCTACTTTACCATATCCAGCTAATATTCTCCGAAGCAAATGGTGTTCGGACCAATATTTTGCTGGTGCGTATAGTTACATGGGTATGGAAAGTACAGTAGATAATCAGTGTGATCTGGCAGCTCCTATTCCAGGCGAGTAACGATTATTTTCATTAATCATATTTTATCATTGAATAATTAATAACTTATTAATTGATCGTCCGCGTACAGCGACGATACGACGAACGGTGATTTGATTTGATTTATTTAGGTACATGCGAACCGATTCCACCGATACTCTTTTTCGCTGGTGAAGCTACAATTCCGGGACATTACAGTACCGTTCACGGTGCAAGATTAAGCGGGATTCGTGAAGCTGAAAGAATAATTCAATTGACGAAAAAATACGGTGGTCCGCCTCAAAGCGATTCGAACAAATAAAGTAAGATCCAATCGTATCTTCCCCGTTAATGTACTATAGCTTGACAGCTGTTCTTTTAAAAGATTTTCTTTTTTACACATCGAATTAATATAATAAAAAACAATACTTCATTTTCAACTTCGACGGAGATCTAACTAAATTATGAGGTACAGATTTTAATTGATCACAGTATCATCGTATGCAGTTAACATAAATCAGCATATATTTCAATTATTATTTGATAACAATGTTAAAACAGATTTCATTTAATAGTAATATAGACGTGGACGATCGATATGAAGCGCATTTTGTAAATTTTATTATCCTCCAGTGGTCCCATCGATGAACATAATTCAAATCGTTGCCTACACGAGCGGTAACACTTTAACAGGATGTGTACGGATAAACTAGTGCTGCTAAACAACAATTGCGAGTTAGATGACTTAATAATACAAATTTAATTTTTATAATATCTCGCGCAAAAAAATTGAATTATTTATTGTAGCGCTTCTACGAACTCTAACTTATTTCTAATACATCTAAAATTTTCCTAATCTCTGTGCTACGTTTTAACAAGTGTTGAGATTTCGACGATTCCGAACGATACCTAACACACAGAACTTACATACGATATGATTATTTTATATTCAATATATCGAATATTTCGGTGGGCAATAAGTAGACACACAACCAAGTTAAAAGTAGATTATAGTTAAGAATATAAAATTATAATACCTTTTAATATAGCTCACATTTGATGCAAACATATTTATCTGATCATCATATCACGAAACTAATATATTAATACGAGTTTAGAAATATAAACGAGGAACTAGCACATTATAATAATTATTAAGTTTATAATGATATGTGAGAATAGTTACGTTAATACACTGTGTTAAATTATACGAAAACATAACAGAAAATATTAATAGGAACTGTTAGTAAAAATGTTCGACTTTGTGATTAATATCCATCATCCGTTTAAAAACGATCGAGCTATTCTATGAATATTCCTAATTAAAAATATTAAATGTCAGGGTATTGAATTATTAATGAAAGGCTAAAATAATACTGTAAAAATTATTTAAAAAAAAAAAACAACTCAAATGTGTGTAAAATAATGAGCCTCGGATGAAAAGAGAGTGTTAATGATTTTAGATAAAACATTTTCTAAGGAGAACAATTATTTCTATGTCAAGGTGGGTTTTACGAATAAAAATCATAACTATGATTGATTGCAAGTCGCCGGTGCTAACGATCTGCAACCACGAGCTATTTGAGCGCGCCATCACTTGGAAACCGAATTCTCTTCTAATATTTCATCGGCCCTTTGTTTAATCTCCTTCCATGAGTAAAGTATATCGCTGCTTTGAGTAATTCGCGAGCATATTGCCAAACGAAGGAAAAATACGTCATTTATCTTTGATGGAACTAAATGAATCTTTCCAGCGCCGTTTATTCTTTTCAGCAGTGTCTCGTTCACGTCGTTGGATCCCTGTTTTAAAAATATTCAATATGTGAACAAAATTTATTTTATTATATTTATTAATCCCCATCCCTACCGGTTTATATTTTGAAGTTTATTCAAAAAAATTAATACCTTCAATCTGAAGCAAACCAATCCAAGAACAACTTCAGCGATGATCTCGAAACGAGAATCGGAAAGAACGAATGCCTCGAATTCGTGAGCCAGAGAAACGTGAGTTCTGATATATTTTTGAAGATTTTCTACCCCATAAATTCTCAAAACGAACCATAGTTTAAGTGCTCGGAATCTACGACCGAGAGGAATTTGCCAATGCTGGAAAAAAGAGAGTAATACGTTTAATTTTAAAAATTCAATTTGTTTAGATAATTATGATTGGAAAAAGAGAATCAGGGAAAGAAGAAAAATAAAATATAATATATTTACCCTGTAATCAGGAGCTGATCCTTGCATTTCGTATTTCAGGTACAATGGATCGACATTAAAGGCGTTAATTACGAAAGTTGGATCTTTGAACCACATGGCGGAACAGTCGAAATTAACCAACAGCCACTTGTGAGGATTAAAATTAAACGAGTCTGCTGTTTCGATGCCTTTCATTAAGTAACGAAATTCCGGACAAATAAAAGCGGAACCTAACGTTGGAAATATAATTCGTTTATAATAATGTTTTACGCGAAAATATTCAAGGTAAAAATTCTTTACGAAATTACCTGCATATGCAGCATCTATGTGTGCCCAGACAGATTCTCGATTAGCTATCGGACCTAATTCGTCCAAACGATCGAAAGCACATGAATTTGTTGTTCCTAGGGTAATGACGACCTGCAAATCAATCAAAATATCAAGATATCTCGATGATCCAATTTTAACAAAAATCTAGAAAAGAGATTTTTGACAAAAGGACTCACGTAAAATGGTATTAGTCCTTTCTCTTTGTCTTCGCGAATAGCCTCGGCCAAAGTATCACCGCGTAATTTATTTTTCGAATCGACCTTCAATAAACGAAATTTCACGCCAGCGAAAAGACCAGCTCGTTCGACCGAACTGTGCGCTTGACCTAAATGAATTAAATAGAATATATCATAATTTCGAATCTCTCATTAATTGGAATTAAAACGATGAATGGGATTTTTCTATAAAGGTAACTTTTATAGCAATCTCAATTTAGGATGATTCGAGGTGGCTAGGGGGTAATGAGAAAATGTGCATTGGGTTGAAAGTGGTGCAGGGTGAAGGTTCGACTAGAATATCCCAACTAGAGTGGTTATTACAGGTTGCCATGGTGATAAAGTGCCGTTTGATGAAGTGTTTCGAACCCATACACACCCTTGTCAAACTACTTCATCATCCCTCTCACACACACACACACACACGCGCGCACACTCTCTCTTTCTACACCTTCGAGCCAATTGTATTGAGTCATTGTTGTTGAAAGCATAAAAGCATCATAATTTTTTTCTCACGATTAATATTCGCGAAAAATGTCAAGAGGAATATCGCGAAAGAAACTTACAGGAACTGTATGCGACCATTTTATCAATGATTTCGGCCTCGGTCCATTCAGGATGCTGTTCCTTAACTTCCTTAATTTTCTTAACTTTGGCACCGAGTAAAGCGACTAATGTTGCTTCGCTTGCTGTTCCCTGCGTGTCAAAGATAATAGAATTATCGTAAAATGATTTCGCTCTATTGTGATCCGATAATCCATATCGTAAATTTATTAGAAGACAAAAATATTTCTATACGAACCTGAATGACGCCACCTCCTTTGCCACCACTGCAAGCTAAAAATTCTTTCGGTAAATCCAACATTTGTCCCAACCAATCGAGCATTATTACTTCCAATTCCGTACAAGCTGGACTTGCCATCTAAATAGAAGAAAAAATGAAAACGAAAAAGAAAAAAGAAAAAACATTAGAAACTGCGAGTGAAAGTTATTCTAGCTGCTTATCGAACCATTGTTAAACTTACCCAAGTAAATCCAACACATGCAATAGCTCCGCTAAGCATGTCTGCAACAATAGCTGGATACGATTGGGCGGTGGGGAAATAAGCGTGAAATTTCGGACTTTGCCAATGGGTTACCTGCAAGATGTGAAAGAAAAATATAAATGATTAAATTCAATATTTTAATCGGTCGTTCACATATACGATCTGTGTATGATGAAACAGATAATAACGAAAAGATTTCATTGAAAAGAAAAATTATATATATATATATGTATATTTATTTATAAATCGATTGTAATATATTATCAATTTGATTTTTAAATGAGGATATAACTTAACGCGAGACGTGAGATAACTAAAGAAAGAAAGAAAGAAAGAAATAAAGCAAAATGATTTATTTCACTTACACCTGGCATTATCACTCTTTCTACGTCATTTATAATATCCTCCCATTTTTCTGCAGTACGAGGTGCTTCCGGGGGTAAAAGTGGTTTCATGTATCCCGGATCGATCGTTGGTAAAACCGTCCTAAAAATGATTCGTAAAAAAGTATATTATATTATAGTTTCTTTTTATTTAATTCTTTTTTTCTCCCACGCGCGTGATCGTCGTAAAGCGTTCAATTCTTAATCGAGTTTTTCAAGGTCTCCTTTCAGATCGGCATTCGATTATAAAACCAGTTAATGTAGCATGCATAATTTTTTTTCACATTTCTCGAGTATTCTTATTTTTTTTTTTTTTGTAATTTGACGTATAATATAGTTACAATGAATATTCACATTATTGTGATTTATTGGATTAATCATCAAGAATACGACCAAGAATATCAAGTTTTTAGTTGTTTAGAAACAAAAAATATAAATGACCAACCTATCTCTGATATTTTCTAGGTAATCCGTGATATAACTTATCATTCCATTGGCAAATTGTTTAAAGTTCTCGGCATCCATACTTGCGTATTCCTGTAAAAAGAAAAAAAGAAAAAAGAAAAATAATGATACAAAATCGTAATTAAAAGATACATAGATTTGCGACAACAGACATTCAATTAAAATTCTCTACATTCTATTTATCCTTTGTGTCTATCGTTTTACACAATTATTACTTCGAATTCGATGGAAAAAAAATATAATATAATAGAAAAATTGATTGACCAAAAAAACTATGAAGTGAAAGTATTAGTTTGATACACGTGTGTTCAAGTGTAACCAACGTTTGAATAGATTAATCTCATTGTCAGGATTAAACTATGTCAATGTCAAACATTTAGATAGCCATCATATTATGCTCAATCTCTTCCTTTTTCTTTATCTTTTTGTTGTTTTTTTTTTCTCGCATATCATGAACATATGAGCCGACCATATACGACAAACATAATTGGTGAGTGGCAATGATCTGTCGACTAAAGAAACGTTGCAGGAGGTGGTAACATGTGCGAAGAACTATGTGTGATATACATATACGTGTGTGTTTGTGTAAGCATTATGATGAATGAAATTTGAAGGACGGAAGTATGAAAGAAGTCATATAAATCATTATATTATATGTATGTATATCGTTTTATATATACGTGTATTTGTTTCATCGTAAAAATTCGAAGTCCATGACAGAAAAGTAAGAGTAAAACTTCTCTCTTTTAGTACTAGTCTATGTAAACGTGAAGCAACGTGACCATGACTCATTTTTGCGAAGTAATTTTCCTTCGACTCCTTTCTTTCGTTCTTTACGATCTCGGACTTGGCGTATATAACAACAACGGCAGTGATCATTGTAATATTAATATATCTTTAATAATATTCTTTTGGGAAAAAGATTGAAAAATATTCGAAAAAATAACGAGTAAATAATAGATAAATATTATTACTAATGTTTTAATAATTATATATTCCGAAGATTTGGTTGCTAAAGGTGTACAGTGATTCATTGGAGGTAGGGGAATCTTGTGATCATGTGCGTGACGTAGTAGTCACAATTGTGACGTCAGTGACAGGATTTGAAAGAGCGGGGAAAGCAAAGTAGCGGGAATTACTGACGTTAATTCAAAGACCAGGTATCGGGTCTTTCCTCATGGTTTTTCCTTCAAGATAAACGGAATGGTAATTCCTTTTATATTTATGTGCGTTAAACTATTATAGTGATCTTAAATAATAATATTATTCTGGAGGCACGTCGTCCATTTCAACATATTTAAACGATACGAAATATTATTTTTCTAACCAAATGTCAAATACAAGGAATCTCGCAACTGTAATATTTAAATATTATTGAATCTCTGATTTATTCGTAATCTATTAATTATAAATCAATTTGATTGTTTTTATATCATTTTTTTCGAATGTAAAAGTGTCTATACGTTGTTCGTATAATCGATTGGTAATATTTTTATTATTTCTATTTCCTGATATAAAAAAGAAAATATATGTGTATAATTTAATATTTAATTAATTATCTTAAAGAAACTCTTTTAAAACGTGAGATAAAATGAATGATGATATTTTATTGTATAGTAAATTTCAAACACAACGCGGTTCAACGAATTGATTAATTACATATTAAAAAAAAACTCACGATCGAGGACACCAAGAATATATACGTAAATCTACAGGTGAAAACTCGTGTGGAATCTATCGAAACCGGTCGTCAAACGGAGTTATTATTTCACAATCACTTTTTACGATCGAACTGCGAATCGATGACGACAGAAGTAAACTAATACCGATTGAAAAATATTTTACGTGTCACAAAAAAAACGTTACCTCGTGCTCGTCTATGTTTAATGCTCGGTGAAAGTAAAATTGTCAAAAATAAATTCTAAATTATTTTCTTTACGCCAATTAAATATTATATAATTAATTTTCAATCGTCAAATTAAACGATTAACTATTCATCAATTATTCTGTACACTTGTGTTAATGAAAAAAAAAAAAAAAGAAAAAAAAGACAAACTTGAATGAAAAATAATGATTAAATGAATAACACAAATGATGGGTGTTTTTTTTTTTATTACTTACAGTAAATCGTAGTAATAGCAGCAGGAGAGCAGCACTTTTAGTTGTCGCGTTATTGAATGATTAAATAAAATGTTAAGATAAGAGACGAGATAGAGAAGTATTCTCGAGTCGTTGTCGCATGGAATTGTCAGTCCATCGTTAGCCGAGGTGGTCTTTATGTATCACCCCACCCCTTAGCAACTCCGACGAGAGCGTTGAAAGCGCTTTTCGAGCACGAGACCTTTCCACCAATCGAATGGCTTTCTACCTAGATATATATGTATATAATATACCCCCATACAATACTTCAACAAACTCTCTTCCTTCTTTCCTTCCTCACCTTCGAGAGGAGGAAAGCTCTCCTTTTCTTTATAAGATCGATAACAAATTCCAAATCTATACAATTCATTTTCCTCATATTTTTAATTAATATTTTTCCTACTACCAAATTAATTTATCATATATTTGTGACTCTGTTTTCATATAACGATTAAATTTTAATTTAAACACGTATAATTTGAAGATAATATTATATATGTTTGTCGAATTTTAAATTTGATTTCAAATATTATATTATAGAGAATTATATTTTAGAATAATTGTAAAAGATAGAAGAATGGAAGATAATTATAAGAAGTCTTGAAACATTGTAAAGAAGAATAATTGTATCGTAGAGATACGTATTGTTTATAATTGTGTTGTTAATATATTAAATTATTAGTATTAATAGCGATTAGAGCCAATAATGTTTCCAAGAAAATAAATTCTATATTATTTGGAATATTTTTTATCTTATGTAGTATATTTAATTTGTTTACGTATTTTAAACGAATACCGAAATAATTTGAAACGTTGATATAAGGAAAGAAAAAATTTAATCGTTGCTTGATATATATTCGTGATATATATATTTATATATTTCTCTTTTCCTCTTCCAATTAATTTGACTCAACTTTGTGCGCGAACCTGTTTCGAAGAAATTAAACTAATTTGATGAAAATCGATTTTTTATCAAGTTTTTCCTTCATTCATTGAAATCGAAATGTTCTACAACGATATCACAAAAAGTGTTTTATCTAGAACTATTAAATATATATTTTCTTCGAACGTATCCCCTTAACAAAGTGCCTTTAATATGACAAATGAAAGTACTCGCGCGAGTTCAAACGATTTAATAGAATTTCAAAATGTACTGCCTGGCAAATACAGCAAGAGAGGAAATACGATTTCACGTGAGAAATCAAGGAACTATTGAGACCGACCAAATTGAATTAGGGCGTATGCATTCAAAGGTACTATTCGTCGACTTGGAAAATTTTTCCTTCCTCAATTAAAATTAGAAAAGATCTTTCTCGCTTAAGTTTTTTCTTTTTCTATCTTTTCTTTCTTTATTAATTATTTTTATTTTGAATATTTTAATGGACATAAATAATACGCTCGATCTAAATGGTAAACAACATTTTTTTATTTTTTCTTGTGATCAATTTGAAATAATAATTTAAATTAAAAGGATGAAAAAAATAAGTTGAAAAAAGAAACGAAAAGAATAATTAAGATAAGATCTTTCGAAAGAAGCAGCAACAAGTTTAAAGCGAAATAAAGAAACCTGTAGCTTCTTCCTGTTTCACCACATTTTTTTGAAGATTTATTACTTTCTATTAGTTCGCTCTCTTTCAGTTTACATCAATTCATTCTGATTAATAATCGGTTTTTTGCATACGTAATGAACACGTGTGCGTTCTTTTTTTTTTTTTTTATTAAACAAATATGAAAAAGATATCAAATAAAATGTTTAATTACAATATTATTATAGATCTTTAAGGATCGTTTTAGCTTCTTAAATATTTACGAGAAAAGATTAAAAAAAAAAAGAAGTCGATATAAGAGGATCGTTCATTTTAGAAATGAAAATAAGTCTTGTCTTTTGTTCCGATTGTAAAAAGGAATCGCTCTTGGGAAACGTTAATTCGCCTCGAAAGTAGATCGAGCTAAGAAAGTAAATCCTAAAAGCTTACGGAAAAAGAAAAAAGTGAGAGAGAGAGAGAGAGAGAGAGAGAGAGAGAGAGAGAGAGAGAGAGAGAGAGAAGCTTTATTTCCCATTCGAGAAGAAAAGAAAGGGGAAATGTTCAAGTAAAGAAAGAAAGAAAGAAAGAAAGAGAGACCCAAAGATTTTTCTTCGCAACTTCTTTCTGACTTTTCTACTCCCTCGGACATGCTCGAGTGTTCCCACCCGTTTCTTTTTTTATTTTTCCTTCGAATCGTTTTTCCTTTTCTTCATTTTGAAACCATGGAACAAGCGTAAGTTCTTCTCGATAAAATGTGCCGTTGTCATGGTTACCATCAAGTAGGATAATCAACAGGACGATTCTTTTTCGTCTGGATGGAACACTCGTATCTACTTTTACATTGTATCTAATTTACGATTGAATAAATCTAAAAAAATATCAATCGTAAGTTGAAATTTAATGAAAAATCCAATTAATTTCAAATCGTTCTTAACCTACAATGACGGTATAATGACCTGCAGTACGATGATCGGATATTTTAGAGATTGATAATAATTATTTTGTATTCAATTAGTTGTTTCTCTAGTCCAAAAATAAAATTATTAATAAATAGGTATCTTAGGGAATTTGGACATTCAAAAGAACTAAAACTTCGTTTTGATTAATTGGACGTTTCGTCCCTTTATTGGGACTTCTTCAGCAACTGGTAATTTTATTTTATTGTTATTTTTATATTGTGAAATTCATGAGACCTATATATCATCAAAAATTAGATGTTACCTTAATCACTAAAGTTCCACGTCTTTTTTATTTAAGCAGACATATATTTTTGTAATATTTAAAATAGTATACATCTATATTTCGTTATTTCTTGATCCGTTATATTTGAAAACTCAACAAAATTGTTTCAATCTAGACTAGTGTTTATTAATTTAGATATCCTCACTGTTAAGGTGCCCTCTATTCCGATGTTCTATTTATTATAATTAAATTTAAAAATTCCGTCATAGATGTTGTTTAAATTATTTGTATCTGTTCTAAAATTAATTGTATTATTGTTCGTTATGTGGTACATTTCACTAATGTTTCTTTTATACCAATTTTTTCTTCTAAATCTAAAATCGTTGCTGCGTCAAATTTCAAATTATGTCCTGTTTTAAAATGATGCTTTAATTTGGTGTAAATAGAATTTATTTTTGTTAAATTAATAAATAAATAAATTTGACCAGTCGAACTTAGTGTACAAAATACCATGTGAATGTGACAAGTGTTATATAGGACAAACGAAACAGAAACTTTAAAAAAGATTAGATCAGCATAGAAATGACTGTAAACCTACTAATGTTAAGTAAAACTAATACCATCGCATTAGCTGAGCATCATTTTAAAACAGGACATAATTTGAAATTTGACGCAGCAACGATTTTAGATTTAGAAGAAAAAATTGGTATAAAAGAAACATTAGTGAAATGTACCACATAACGAACAATAATACAATTAATTTTAGAACAGATACAAATAATTTAAACAACATCTATAACGGAATTTTTAAATTTAATTATAATAAATAGAACACCGGAATAGAGGGCACCTTAACAGTGAGGATATCTAAATTAATAAACACTAGTCTAGATTGAAACAGTTTTGTTGAGTTTTCAAATATAACGGATCAAGAAATAACGAAATATAGATGTATAGTGTTTTGAATATTACAAAAATGTATGTCTGCCTAAATAAAAAAGACGCTGAACTTTAGTGTGATTAAGGTAACATCTAATATTTTTCTCATGTATTTCACAATATAAAAATAACAATAAAATAAAATTTCCAGTTGCTGAAGAAGTCCCAATAAAGGGACAAAACGTCCAACTAATCAAAACGAAGTTCTAATTCTTTTGAATGTCCAAATTCCCTAAGATACCTATTTATTAATTATTTTGTATATCTACAACAATTATTACATCAGGTTGTAAGTACCTATCAAATATCCCACATAATTAAACCAGTTGTGTCTTATACA